GTACTTTGATCACCACATTTCCTTTTTTTTATTCCTGGTTTGGAGGAAGCAGTTTGCCCTTGGGCCTTGATGCTCATAGAGATGTCTGCTCTAAGAGGTGGAAAGAGAATGTTCTAGGCTCTGTCACTAGGGCGCAGCTTGAAAGACCCTTTCACTAAAAAATACCTTCAGAGGGTTAGTCAGCATTTTAGGAAGACCGTGCCCCTCTCCCTCAGTCTCAGAGCACACGGCACAGAGCCCAGCCGCACCCATAGAGCAGGGTCATTTTTGATGGTGACTAGAATGAATACAGGAGTGACGCCTACAATAGGGGTGGCCCCTGTGTCCTAGTTTGTGCTTCATTGCTGTGACAAAACACTCTGACCACTACCAACTTGGGGAGGAAAGGGCTTATTTATCTTACATCTCCTGGGTCACAGTTCATCAGGGAGCCCAAGGTAGGAACTCAGGGCAGGAACCTGGAGGCAGGAGCTGGAGCACAGGCCATGGAGGAACACTGCTTACTGGCTTGCTCTCCTGGCCCCTGCTCAGCCTGCTTTCTTATGCAACACAGGTCCACGTGCCCAGGGGTGGCACCACCCACAGTGGGCTGGGTCCTCCCACATCACTCATCAAGAAGATGCCCCTCAGACATGGCCACAGGCCAGTCCAATAGAGGCAATTCCCCAATTGAGGCTCCCTCAACCCAGGTGTGTCAAGTTGACACTAAAGCTATCCAGCACACCCTGCAATGCCACGGCCCAGGCTAGGGCCACCATCAGAACTCTGCACACATCTCTGGCTGTCACATTCTCAGACCTTAGGTATATGCACATGGCATCCCCACTCTTTGGTGGGAACACTGAGGGTCCAAGGACCCCATGGCACACAATGATGTTTCTTCCCACCTACTGAAGGTGTTTAGGCCATTTAGCAAGTGAACATTGGGTCTGGACATGAATGGACCATCATGGGGAGTAGAGGGACCTGGACCCACAGACTGTATTTGCTTTGAGTGAGTCACATTAAGATTCCCTGAATGGTGATGACCTTTTCAGAGCCCTGTCTGGAGAGTCCCTTGTGAGACACTGAGTGTTGGGCACTGGAGCCTTCACCCAAGAGAAGATGCATGAAACAGTGTGGCTGCCCCGGGCAGGGATTATTCCAGAAAGCCAGAAGTGGAAAACTGACAGGAAGGCACTAACAGCAGAACTCTGGATCTCTCCATGTCCTAGACTCAGCCTTCTCCACCCACCCTTTTGCATCCAAATTGTTGCACAGAGTTTGGGAAGAACTGCTGGTCTCTGGTCTGTGGTCCCTGGGACAGGCTGCAACCTGGGTGCTGACTAGAACACAGGGGTGGTCAGTGAGACTTAGTGTACCTTTGTGTGACGGTGACAGATGCCAGGCTGAGCTGCTGGACTTTGGCATGTCATGTCCAGGTACAGAGCAACCCACACCTATCCTGTTCACCAGGTGGGCATAGGTAGCACTGGCCCCTACAGACCACTGGACTAACCATCCAAGCTCTGTGCTCCAGTGGCTGACAATAATTCTGCGTTGAAGGCTTTAAATCAGGTGACTTTTGCTCAGACCAAGTCGGGCAGAGCCTCAAACAGAAAGCCAGCCATGGGAGACTCGGGTCTGCTTCAGAGCTCCAGGGCTGGCTCCCACGTGGACCAAGAGGGCTCCAGGAGCCAATTACCTTCCCATGCCCTCAGAAACACTTGATGGATTTCAAACTGGAAAATATTTGCTTTCTTCCCTTTAGGATGGCAGCCTCTGATCGCAACCAAAATAGGGAGACGCAGAATGGCCTGCTTGTGCTGTTCCTGCTGCAATTGCTGCATCACCAAGGGGTTTGTGAGCGCCACAGAAAAATTATTAAGATGCTCAGAAAATAAGCCGTTAAGAAAATGCATTTATGTGTCATAAAACAAAAGGCCGTGTTTCTCTTCACCAGAGGAATTACGAGAGGGACATAAACTGTGATGTGGTGACTGCAGCCCTCCAGCCGAGTGCTTCCCGCCCCACGGAGACACGAGGGTGGGGAGAAAAGGGCAGAAGTAGAAACTGAGAACAGAGACGCCAACACAGCGCAGTATGGCTTGGGGCAGTGGAGGCCCCTCACCCAGGACTGCACCTCTGAGGAGCGCCATCACTGCCCGCAGTCGGCTGGCAGTCACAAGGGTACAGCGGGTTCAAAAGCAAGATGCTTAGGGAACTCGAAGTGTTGTTGATGATTTTCTTTTCTCTGTGAACCGTGAGTCACTGACCTTTGCAGGACCATAACCCTATTGGCTAGTTGGGGTGTAGGCACAGTGAGCCCAGACTGGCTGGATGGATGTGTGCGTGTGCATGTGTGTGTGCGTGTGTGTGCGTGTGTGCGCATGTGCGTGAGTGTGTGTGCAGTGTGTGTGCGCGTGTGTGCGTGTGCATGTGCATGTGTGTATGTGAGTGTGTGCATGTGCGTGTGTGAGTGTGCATGTTTGTGTGAGTGTGAGTGTGCACATGTGTGTGCATGTGCATGTGTGTGAGTGTGTGTATGCATGTGCGTGAGTGTGTGTGAGCGCATGTGCATGTGTGTGCGTGTGCGTGTGTGCATGTGCGTGCGTGTGTGAGTGTGCATGTGTGCGTGTGTGCGTGCGTGTGCGTGTGTGTGTTCTTTCATTAGTTAACACATAGACAACACAGCCCCTGTGTGTAGCACTGGAAAGACCAATGACAGACGATGTGAGCCATAAGCAGCAGCATCTGGTCAGACAGGAGGGATTGTACTAAGCCCCCTCCTCTGTTTTCATTTCTATGCATTTGCATAGAAAGAGTCTCTTTTTTTGATAGGATCAGACCCAGCAGCCACGCCTGATCAGAGACAGCGCTATGTGAACATGCAGGCCAGGGCCACTCAGCCAGCCTCAAGCACAACCTTCATGTGGAAGTCCATTCCTTCACACTCACGTGATCAATGGGACCAGCTCAAGCAGAAGAGCATGTTTAACCACAGCCTATGAGCTGACCCCATGTACTGTAAATAAACAGAACCATGGGCCGCTGACCCCATGTACTGTAAATAAACAGAACCATGGGCCGCTGACCCCATGTACTGTAAATAAACAGAACCATGGGCCCCTTGCTTGATCATCTGATTTAAATGACTGAATTCTTTTGCTGGTATCTTCCAGCACTTAAAGCTTTCTTTTCCTTTCGTCCAAGAAATGTCTCCAGAGACAAACATTTCTGAATTCCTTCCACATTTTCAGCATGGATTCTTTTTATTTCTCTCTCTTAAAAAACCCAATGAACTATGTACTGTAAATAAGGAGAAATGAAGTCCTTCTTTTCATGATGATACTGCTTAAACCTGTTTCCCTAGATAAAACCCTTAATGTGAAGCTCGAGCCCCACCGTAAATACATTTCTCATATTTCATGCATTTGGTTCTAAAGTGATAATATTTACAATGTGCAAATATGAGCCCTGTCATTATACTCCTGAATAAGCTCAGTTACCCAAGAAATACAAATACAAACAGGAAATGAAGACTGGATTGCAGATCTGAGGGATGGCCCCATGTCCTGCCACCCTTAGCAAATAGGGAGGCCTCCAGGTGCCTGCTGGTGCAGGAATGCCTGGAAGTGACAGCTGTACCCCTCGGACATCTCCCCTGGGCTACATGCAATAGGATCAAAGTGGTACAGGTGTGATTTTCCAAGGTTCTTGACCGGCCTCCCAGCCTAGCACCTTCTGTATCCTGCCGCGGCCTCCTTTTAGGTGCCAGTCAACCAGAAGCAGCAAGACAGAGACTTCTAAGTGGGCACAGAGCAGAAGACGAGGGACGACGGGCCTGGCCGATGGAGGAAGCCGAGGTATAGTTCACCATGAGCCTCTTTGTGTCTGCACAGAAGCCATCCTCTGGGACGTTTGTCAGGCCAGGTAGCCCAGCAGGTGTTGAGAGTCCATGGCTTACCTTCGTCCTTGCTGCATGAGTTGAGCACAGAGCACATCACCACATTGCTCCCAGCTCAAGAACATCCCGAAGGCTGCTCTGGACTTCATACCCCACTGAGAGAGCCTGGGACAAACCTTGGCCACAGCCTATCAGAAATGATCTACACTTTCTTTCACAAAAGTACAGCCTTCCTGACACCTTCACAAACCTCAGAGCCTCAAGCTGGAAGTTGGTGAACCCTGCATCCCGATTACAAAGGAGAGCTGAACGCCAACCAGCCTTAGCCACGTATGGAAAGACAGGGGAGAGGACTTGGGAGAGACCTGAGCACACTTGATGAAACCACGCATTCCGGTCTCCAGTGACACTGTTTACCTGCCCAGCTTCCTTCAGAGCTCCACGGGCATACAGAATGATCTCAGGTGGTTTATCTCTTCTGCTGGGGTAAAGAACAATGGCTCTTCCAAAACTGTCCTCAAGTCCTGTTTGAAATCCAGCAAGGTCCCCTTTTCCCACTCTGGATTTCTTCCCCTTACTGGTCACTCTGTCACCTTCTGCAAGGCTTCATGCTGCAAATTCGGTCATTTCTGCGATGACTGCTCAGCATCTGTCACCTAAGGGACCCAAGGCCCACAGGGTTTGCAAGGCTTAGGGTGCCAAAGCTGGGCACAACACTTCCCGCAGCTTCAAAGCCCCCAAAGACCCCCAGGCCCCTCAGGACTGTGACAGCACAGGCAGCAGATCTGCCGGTGACTGACCAATGCTTTGGACAAGGGCCCTAAAGCCAGGACTCCCTCATATGGGGGCTGAGAAGACAGCTCAGCAGTTAAAGGCACCTGCTGCTGAGCCTGTCGACCTGAGTTTGATCCCCAGGACCCACAAGGTAGGGGAGAACTGACTCCTGCAAGTTGTTCTCTGCCCTCCACATGCATACCATGTCACGCATGCACACGTGCGCGCGCACGCGTACACACTCACGCACGCAAATATAAAAACAAGAGTTTGCATTTTTAGAACTTTTTTTGGCTGTGCTGTTACATAAGGTTAAAAATAAAATTCAATGACATTCAAATTATAGAAAAATTAGTTTTTATTAAAATTAAAATATAAAATAGCCCGAATAACAAATGTTTTTTAAAGCATTCATTTATCTGAAGCGGTCGAATAAAATGACAACACAAAACGGACATTATAATGAAGGAATATGAAAATATTGAAAACATTACTTAAATGATTCTGAATTCTGTCACTTTGACCATTTCAGTCAAATCTTTTCAAAAAACTTTTACAATCAATATGGCTTTTCAGACAGGTAGCCGTCCACATCCCTCAGGGCTGGGTGAAGATCCGTGTTGGATTTCACTCAGATGGTTCTCAATCTGCACACAGCAGCACAGACGAGCACCAGGTATCACTCCACCATAAGGATGCTGCTGGGCCTCGTTGTATGCACAGTTTGAACTCATGGCTGCCTGTAGAAGGAAGGGGTATCTCAGACAGTCGGGGATCCGCCATGGCTCAGTGCCTCCTGCCTCCGCCTCTCCCAGAGTGCAGTCTCCTCACAGCCCTGTGGCTGAAATCTCCTGGGGTCTCCAAGGGAAGACTAGACCTGGCAAAGGGCCACACATCCTCCTTGTCCATCTCTGCCTGGTGGCTTGATCTCAGCAAGATGAGTCAGCCTTCTGACCCTCATGGAGCCCCAAGTTCTCATACCCACGGCCTCTTCCCATTCTCATGGGTCACCATAATCAAAGGCTGTTGCCAAGAGTCAGCCCCTGCTTACCACCGGCACAGGGACAGTCACCTGATGCGCCCTAAGTGCTCAGGCTGGTTGTAGCACCCATACAGAGAAGGGGTGAACAGGCAGGGAGAGCTCAGTGAGACGCTGTCACAGCATGCCTACCCAGAAAGCCCACTACTGCACGGGGAAAGCACTGCAAGACATTCTTTATGCTGAATTCATAGCTCACAGGCAAGGGGGCCATGCTGCAGTGGATTAATTAATGGTGGCAGTCAGAGCTATAGACAGAAGGCTGGTCTGGGAGAAAAGCCTAGACTTCCTCCCAGACCCTGACCTTGAGACCATGTGACTCTGAGACTACTTGGCACCTTCCCTTGCCCCAGACAAGAAGCTTCTGTGGAGGTGGAGGGCAGTAGAGGGTGGAGGCAAACTGCAGTGTCCATGGGGAGTTTCTGCAAGCCGGCAAATCATTCCATTTTCGTTTTACTTTTGGTTGGATAAACTCTTTTTCTGAGAGCTGCTTTTAGCCTTCTTCAGGGTCTACTTGAGGTTGATGGGTTACCCCAGGAGTCTGGACAGCTCCCACGCCTGGAACTTCCGAAGAATCTGAATGTGAGGGAAGCTTTCCACTTACCCCAAGGCTGGGTCCCGCCCACGTGGGACAGGGGCAATGGCGGCAAGCGTCACCTTGAGATGAGCTGTGAAGACTGAAGCTGCCCGGCTCGCAGCAGCCCACGGAGGGGCAAGGCTAGGAGTAGAGTCCCTTGGACTCCCTTGAGGCCGCCACTGTGTGACCCTGGAAAAGCAGTTGATTTGTCCTTCGGCACAGGACAGAATTCCGGGTCGCCCACCCCCCACATCCAGAGCGCACAGGTACCTTCGCTTTCAGCTCTGTTGCTCCAGAGTGACCCACTGACCTCCACCACAGCTGTCCCAACTCCAGCACCTGCGCGGGGCCTGGCCTGTCCCAGCAGCCATGGAGTCTCTGTGTTCCTTGTGGGTCCTGCTTCAAGCCTCCTCAGTCTGCAGTTCTCAATATGCAAACAGACCCACACAGTTACTTTCCATTTTCCCTAGGCCCCACTCTTCATCACACCGGTGTCCTTACCGTGTGAGGTCTCGGGGCCCTGAGACTCTTCAGGTAACCCAGCCCTGCCTGGCCTTCCTGCCCACCCACTGCTGTCTCCCTGGCCCTGGCCTTTGACTGCTCTGTTCTTTCTGCTGAGTCAGCTCTGCCCACTGCTGCCCAGCTGCCTCCGACTCAGTCACCACATCCTCACCCCCAGGGAAGGTCAAATGAAGACACAGCAAGAGGTCAGTCACTTCTGCAAGCCCAGCAGAGCGCCTCGCCAAAACCCACCCTGCAGCGCCTTGACCTTGGACCTCAGCCAGAACCATGACCAATGAGGATTTGTTGTCTGCAACATTTGCTGCACACAGCACCTCAAATGCAGCAGTGTGCATATTTGTGGGGAGCAGGAGACTGTTGTCAGACTAAGAAAGTTCCTGTGAAGTTTGTTTCCAAGGGTTTGGGGGGCACTTAGGCTTTGCTTTCTCTCTCTGAACAAATGGCTCCCACCCTCTGATCTTTGCTACAGTGGAAGGCTTTGCTGTAGCAGCGCTGGGAGGTCCTGCTTCTCCTTGTCAGGCTTCGTATTTTGTATCCAATCAGGAATAAACTGACAAGTGCCTGAGCAGGTGGATCTGGAGAGACCATTGGAAGCTGAGGGACCGCCTGCCAGAACTCCAGAAAGGTCTGTTATCAGTTGAATAATGTCCCCCAAAGTACTAAGTTCTAGTCCCCAGAGCCTATCCTACTTCACATGGCAAAAATGTGAGCAAATAAAGGTTTTTGCAGTACAGAAAAGACCTGGCTTAGTCAGGTAGGTTCTACCTCACAGGTGTCCCTGGAGGAAGGTAAGAGCTGACCTAGACTGATAGGGAGGGGTTGGATGACCATGGAGGCAGAAGACAGCATGATGCAGTCACAAGATCTGGAAAAGGCCAGAAATGGACCCTCCTGCAGAGCCTGGGGAGCCTGGCCATGAGCTCTCAACTGCAGCCCGAGGAAATGTTCCCTGGCCTTTTTTCCTCCAGAGAAACATATATGTCGATTTAACCACTCAGTCTGCATGCTACCACAGTCGCAGAAGACTGCCACAGTGGTGCTGAGGAGCTGGGTAGCCAGGGCCGGGTAGGAGATGAGCCACAGTCAGTGCTCAGGACAGGGACAGTGTAGACACAGTACCTGGGGGAAGATAGATAGGCCACAAATGATGCTCAGGACAGGGGCAGTGTAGACACAGGGCCCATGGGAGATGAGCCACAGACAGTGCTCGGGATGGGGCAATGGAGACACAGGGCCTGGTGGAAGATAAGCCACAAATGATGCTCAGGACAGGGGCGGTGTAGACACAAGGCTTATGGGAGATGAGCCACAGACAGTGCTCAGGACAGGGGTGGTGTAGACACAGGGCCGGGTAGGAGATGAGCCACAGACAGTGCTCAGGGCAGGGGCAGTGTAGACACAAGGCCCATGGGAGATGAGCCACAGTGTTCAGGACAGGGGCAGTGTAGACACAGGGCCCATGGGAGATGAGCCACAGACAGTGCTCAGGACAGGGTTAGTGTAGACACAAGGCCCATGGGAGATGGGCCACAGACAATGCCAAGGACTAGAGACATCATAGGTACAAGGCCTGGTGGGAGATAAGAATGAACACAAACCCCCAGGCCAGCAAATGACCGTGGCTTGTGGGGGAGTCACGGTTGGCCCATAGAGCATCACAGAGGGCAGCGATGTGAGTGATTCTCCGCACACTGACAAGTCCTAAGGGATGGAGCTCTGCTGTCCCAGCAACCTGAGGTGACGGCTCTTCATGCTGATCGCTCTAGATATTATGTTGAAGTGGTCCACATAAGACATGTCCCCACTTAGAGCCGCAGATGTCACACTGCTCCTCTCCTGTTGGGAGGTAGAGCCAGGAAGAGAAGAACTAGAGTTTGTAACCTGAAGTTTCTACAAAAATGAAAACCATGGAGGAGCTCAGGGACCCACTGGTGGGACTTCCCAGCACCAAACTCCAACTTCACCAGCTCCATAGCAGGTGGGAACACAGCCTTCCTTCCTGGCACTCCCTGAAATCTGGTTCTGAGTCACTTCATGTACAGACCAAACAAGGCCATTCCACCACACGCTGGACGCTGGCCACCTGCCCTCTCAAGCTCAGCCCAAGGACACAGTCCACACAGGGACCCCGTGATGGCAGCCTCCATGCCTGCACTCTGCCTGGCATCCTTAGTTACCAATTACATGAAGCATTTAAGCAAACAGATTTGTGTAACTAGCCCATTCTCAGATGCCCAGGCTAGGGGACTGTCCTGGGCTTGGTCCACCCTGGGCATCTTTGATTGAGCATTAGAAAGCCTTTTCCAAACACAAGATGATCATATTTGACCTAAAGTTGCATGTCATGTTAAAAATGATTAGCCTAATTAGAAGTAGATTAGCTTTGATTGTGTCATTAATTTCAAAGGGTCAGGATTCTGTGGCTCTTCATGCTGACTCTTCTATTCCTGCAGCCCCATGGAGAGGTTTTTAAATGGAACCAGCTTCCTGCTTTAAGAGGTAAGTCCATCCCCCTTTTTCTCTCCGTGTATCTTCTTATTGAGTCTGGAATGATTATTTGATGAAGTTCTGCAGAGAAGGCTACGCGGGGCACTCTGACGGCCGTTGGCGTTCTAAATCTGATGGCAAAAGTTTTCTCCTGATGGAGGTGAGCAGACCCTCAAGCTAGGGGGGCATAGCCCTCAATAAAAATACGAGCCTTTGTCTCCCACCTGCTCACCGGAATTCAACCATGTAGACCAACTTCCGGTTTCCTGTGCAGTTCAGGTCTAGGGTTGTAAATGATGCAACCTTTGTCAGACTTTTGTGAGCAGGAAGCAGTCCATGCCAGGTGGAGGAACACAGCAGCCATGCCCGATTTTTCTAATCCCCTTTCACGCACAGCAGGGAAAGCTCGACTGGTGGCATTCCTGGTTATGTGGTGACATGGTAACACTCCTGGTCATGTGGTAATGTGGTGACACTCCTGGTTATGAGGTGACACTCCTGGTTATGAGGTGACACTCCTGGTTATGTGGTGACACCCCTGGTTATGTGGTGACACCCCTGGTTATGAGGTGACACCCCTGGTTATGTGGTGACACTCCTGGTTATGAGGTGACACTCCTGGTTATGAGGTGACACCCCTGGTTATGAGGTGACACCCCTGGTTATGAGGTGACACTCCTGGTTATGTGGTGACACTCCTGGTTATGAGGTGACACTCCTGATTATGTGGTGGCACTCCTCGTTATGTGGTGACAACTAGGATATGGCAGGATGGCATGTCTCTACCCTGTAAGTGAGGAAGAAGCAGGATGTGAGAATAGGATGCAGACACACATTGGTTCATATGTGCACACATGTACAAATCCATGTATGCATTCTTATGTCGTATGTGATTTGCTGGGAGCCGGGCAATATTTTGGTTTCCTTTGGTTCAACTGCTGCTTCCTACAAAGTCTCCAGCTCTGACTTTTGAGAACTGCATCTTAGGCACCGAAGGAGCCACATCACTCCATTCAGGTTTCTAACCCGCATTGAATCAGGAGGACCTACCGCCGCTGGATATGATAATACAATGGGGTGTACACTGAACCCCTTGTTTGTGCCCCAGAGCCTCAAGAAAGGGCTCAGACCTTCACCCTGTGGGCTCAGGTATCTTTACCTGACTCAGTGTCCCTGCTAGGCACTAGCCATGTGCCAAGCTTTCCAGGGACAAATGACTCTCAGACATCTTAAGCCACCTACAGCTCCGAGCTCCAGGCAAGCCATCAAGGAGACTCTGTCTTGTATGAAGCATCTCCAAGAATATAGAGCCTGTCTTGACATGTGACCTGGAGAAAGGATGGCCTGCTTGGGTGTCTGGGTCCTGTTTGTGTAGAGGAGAGGTGATGCAGGGATCCCCTGCCTAAAGGTGATATTCTGTGAACATGTGTCCAGGATCTGGGCTATAGGGCTATGCATAACCACAGGCACATATGCTGCTGATGAGCACCCCATGAGGGTGCTCCTGGATGGGTGTTCTTGGGAAAGTGTCCAGGATGCAGCCCCCACACTCATGCTTGAAAGGATGATGAGTGAACAGCCAAGTTCAGTGCCTTGAGTCTTGGTTTTATGCACTGCTTGCCACCATCAGTGGCACAATGTGGGTTAAGGCTAAGCCACTGTTAAAAGGATGTTTATGGCTCTGGAGACAAAACTAAGCCTTCCATTAGTGGACAAGGCTGTAAATCAGTCCCTGGGTCTTGGCAACAGCTGGGGGGATAGAGTTCCCATCTCTCCCCTACCCCCATGTGCCCTCCTACAGCTCTGTCCACTGTCCGGGTAGAGTCAGCTGGTGTCAAAGCAAAAATACAGCTCTTACTGCAAAGCCAATCGTTTATTTAATATGAGCCAGAAATGAATGACCATGGCCAAGGAACATGGATTCAGATCTTCCTGAATGACATTTTTCTCCATGGGAGTGGTTATGTGAGCTTTCATAGTCATAGAATAAAATCACAAATTAACGCATCTGCCAAATATATTGGCAGGGACAGCCTGTAGGCAGGTTACAACAGAATGAGGAAAGAGATCTCTGCTGTAAGTCTCAGATTCCACCTTACAACATCCTTGGCTTTGCTAGGCTAACACTTCATGTTCTACCTAGTGGATGGAGAGATGCTCAGTGGCTTGTAGTACTTGATGCTCTTACAGAGAACCAGAGATTTTCTGGTTCCCAGCACCCATGTCAGACAGTCCACAACCACCTCCAACTCCACTGCAGGGGATTTCGTACCCTGTTCTAGCTTACACACACACACACACACACACACACACACACACACACACACACCTAAAATAAAAATAAAATCTTTTTTTAAAAAGTTTTGTAATAGTCACAAGGATGCTAGGCCAGACACAGAGGTCAGCAGTGACAGGCAGTGGAGATGATTTTGAATTTTGATCTCAACATTCCTTCTGTCCTGGTTTGTTTCTTCATTGCTATGACAAAACACTCTGACCACTACCAGCTTGGGGAAGAAAGGGTTTATTCAGCTTATATCTCCCAGGTTGCAGTTCATCAGGGAGCCCAAGGTAGGAACTCAGGGCAGGAACCTGGAAGCAGGAGCTGGAGCACAGGCCATGGAGGAACGCTGCTTACAGGCTTGCTCTCTTGGCCCCTGCTCAGCCTGCTTTCTTATGCAACACAGGCCCACCTGCCCAGGGGTGGCACCACCCATAGTGGGTTGGGCCCTCCCACATCACTCATCAAGAAGATGCCCCTCACACACGGCCATAGGCCAGTCCAAAAGAGGCAATTCTCCAATTGAGGCTCCCTCAACCCAAGTGTGTCAAGTTGACACTAAAGCATCCAGCACACCTTCTCTCCACAGTCACCTGTTCTCATCCATCCTTCAGCCTAAGGATCTTCAACACAGATGTGGCTTCTTCAGCGGCCATTCGTCCACACTAAACCGCCAGTGTCACTGAGTGGCTTCCAGAGCCAGTGGGACAGCCGCGCCCACCCGTCTTCTATAAAACACGACCCACAAACCATCAGAACATACCTGCTTCACACACCCAATTCATCCACCTGGCCAATTAGAGCACAGGGAAGAAAGGA